GGTAAACTGTGGTCAATGTCATGAGACAAAGTATATGTAAACTGCTGTATGGAAAGTGAATTTGCTCTGTAAATCTTCACCCAAATCACAATTAAAAAAAAAAAAAGAAGAAGAAAAGAAAAATGGCATAACTACTTACCACGTCACTGGGAATTTCGTCTCAGGAATTAAATCGTGTATTTCTTGCCATTCTTGGGGTATATCAATAAAATCTCGGTAAACCTTAATTTGCAGCACTGTCCCTATGGTGATATGTTGCAAAAGCTTTAAAAATTCTCGAAGGGTATATCCTAACACATTGGTATGGCCAACACTAATCAGAACATCACCTAAAGTAAAGAAAGTTATCAGAATTAAGATCATGATTTAAAGGGGTCATATTGATTTCTGGCTGAAAGTAAAGTGCTCCATTTTATGAGTTCATATTGTTGGCTCATTTAGAACCCAAACCAGGCTTCAGCCTTATGTAATAAACGTGTATATCTAGTGACAGTCCTTCGCATGATACAGAATACATGCAAGATGTTCCTTGACAACAGTGTAATGGCAACTGTTATATCATGTTTTCATGACACTTCTGAAGTCCTTGGTATGACAGAGGTTAAAAGCCATTTATCATCGGAACCATCCTTTAGGATTCTAAAAAAAAATGTATTAGTTTTGAATAAAATGAAAGATCACTAAAATGCAATGCACTGCCGTGGAGCTGGATCAAACTCATAGCAACTCCTCCTTGGGTTTCCAAGGTGGTATCACTACAGAAGTAGATTGCCCAATCTTCCTTCTGAGGAGTGTTGGTGGGTTTGAACCTCCAGCCTTCTGGTTAGCAGTCAAATGCCTTAGACACTACGCCACCAGAGCTCCCCCGAAAGACCACTACTAGTTTAGAAAAAAAAAAAAAAAAAAAACCTTACACTAAATAATGAATAAATGACCTACTTTCTATTCTATCTGCCCGGCAATTTCCAGTGCCCTCTACAATAAATAGACCATACTAAACATCAGGCCTTTCATTACAATTTTCTGCCCTTGAGAAAATAGGTAAGGAGCTCTGGTGGCATAGTGGATAAAGCATTTGGCTGCTAAACAGAAGGTCAGCAGTTCAAACCCACCAGCTATTCCATGGAAGGAAGATTCTGCGATCTATTTCCATAAAGATTTACAGCCTTGGAAACCCAACAGGGGTTGCTATGAGTCGGAATTGGCTGGATGTCAATGAGTTTTTTGTTTGTTTGTTTGTTTGAACAAATAGTTCAGTATGACATACTGGCCAATAAGCATGCTTTAATTAAAGTTGAAGATGAATCTAGTTCAAAGGGATTGGACAACTAAGTCCCCAATTTTAAGTCAATACTGGACCTGGAGGGAGGCGTGATGGTCAGCTTTTGAGCCACCACAAATAGGAAGAGGATGGCATCTTGGCAGCCAGCCCCCCTATCCCCAAACTGGAAGACCAACTGTTCACTTCTACTGGCCTCCCCACCTCCCTGCCCCAACACCTACGATGTGAACATGTAAACTATGTCCAGTTATGGGACACGCCCACCTGAGTTACTGAACCTGGGACAGGAGATGCGGCAGGAACAACTGGTTTCCAGGGGCCTTTGTTCTTGCTCTATTTTCCAAACCTGGTTCTCCAGCTTTTCTGGCAATTCTGGCAGACTTGTCCTAAATTCAGTGCCTTCACAGAGTCGTTTAATGTTGCTTACAATGAAGAACAGTGACTGCCGCATGGGCATTCAGCAAGAGAGGACAGGATAATACAAAGGCATCGATCAGAAAGCACAGGCTCACACTGGGGGAAATTCAGGTCTTCAGATCTTACTAGAACTAATGTCCCGCCATAATGGTAATGGGGACTTTATAGCTGACACTGGATGAAATGACTCCAATGACGTTCCCAAGATGTGTTCATCTCTGTGTGTGGGAAGCTAGGAACCTGTCCATCACCCTTGTTCCAAGAGAGCTGAAGCCTGACCTCAGAGGAGACAAAGTCGAAATGAACACCCTCAAATTCTTTTTGATGCTACACCCCACTGTGCTTACGTTGGGATTTGCACTGATCCCAAAGGGAGTCTCCAAGGAATGTAAGAACCAATTTCCATAGTGCTGGATCCTCCCAGAAACAAAAGCTCCCAAGGTTCAAAGAAATGAATACTAGAAGGGTAGAGAAAAAGTCTACTTTGGTTTTGAAGAGCAGTTTGGGAGTAAAACCAACCAAGTATTGGAAATGAATTTCATAAACAAAGATTCTCCCAGCTACCTACAGACTGTGGGGTATGGACCACAGCTCATCCTGCGAGGTTAATTACAATGGCCAAGAGCTCTCTTGATGAGCTTACTTGCCTAATGTTAAAGGGAGTGTTTATAGCCCAAAGCAATGGCTTGGCATTCTGCTTAATTATGTGGTAAAAGGGTGACTTTTATAAAGAGGAGAGAAAATAAACAGCCTAATTCCCTGACTGTTCTGGCGATAAACCAAATGTGTCAGTGGCCACACATATGAACATTGCCCTGCATAAAGAAACACCAATTTAGTATTCATGAACATCAACCTCATTACACATTTTTTTCTGTTGCAATGAGCTGTAAGAACCACATTATATAAACTCTGTCTGGATTACCTATATTAAATCAACTTTGTAGCAGCCAGGCCACTACTGAAAAATAAATTGTATGTCTTTTTCTCCATCTCTTCCAGCTAGGCTGTAACTTCTATAAGATCCATATGGTTAGGGACTATGTCCATTTGGCTCACTACTGTCCCCCAGGGCCTAACCCGGTGCCTGCACACAGAAGGCATTCACATAGATGCATATTGGATGAATATGGCCTGGTAAAGGCAGTAGTCATTTGACTTGGATCCACAGTCAACAACAGAGACACAGTAGACAGGTCTACAAAGTGAACAAAAACACTTGTGGGGAGTACATTCCTCCAATCAACCATACAAGACCCAAAGGGCAACATTTGCCCCCAAAACAAAGTTCAGAAGGCAAGAAAGGGCAGGAAAGGAAGAGGAATGGATGCAGGCAACCCAGGGAGGAAGTGGGAAGTATGCTGTTACATTGAGGGGATTGCAAGTAATGTCACGAAACAAAATAGGCATAAACTGTTGAACAGGAAATTCATTTGCTCTGCAGACCTTCACTCAAACCACAATAAAATATTCAAAACAGATATTATCTCACCAAATCCTAGCAACCTTTAAGGAAAGTATGCTGTTGTTAAAAAGCCAAACCAAACCCACTGCTGTAGAGTTGTATCTGACTCATAGAGACCCCTCCTTGGGTTTCCGAGGCGGTATCACTACGGAAGTAGATTGCCCAACCTTCCTTCCCAGGAGTGGCTGGTGGGTTTGAACCGCCAGTCTTCTGGTTAGCAGCCAAGTGCCCTAGGCACTACACTACCAGAGTCCCTCCTCCATGTGATAGAGTAGACCTGTCCCACAGGTTTTTCAGGGTGTCATCTTTATGTAAGGAGAATACCAGTTCTTTCTCCCACAGAGCCACTGGGTAGGTTCAAACCACCCACCTTTCAGTTAGCAGCCAGGTGCTTGCTTACCCAGTAGACCCCCAGGGCTCCTTGACAAAGGTATATTACCATTTTAGAGACAAGGCCACTGAGGCCTAGAAGTTTAAGAGACTTTGTCTAAGGCCACTAGAAAATGGCAATGCCTAAGCCAGAATGAGACCCAGTTAACACTTCTCATCACTTCACCATCCCATCGGGCCCATTAGGTTTTCCCTACTCTGGAGCTTAGCACCAGGTCCTGAGTAGCCACAGGGAAAACATTTCTTGAATTAGATGGAAAACTCTTTCACCCAAAGATGAAGAGAACCCACTAAAACTCATTGTGGTCAAGTCTATTCCTACTAGGGACCCTGAAGGACAAAACAGAATTGCCCCCACAGAATGTCCAAGACCATCTGTCTCTACAGATGCAGACTGACACATATTTCTCCCACAGAACTGGGAGGTTTGGACCACTGACCTTTCAGTGAATAGCTGAGCTCTTAACCACTGCACCACTGAGGGTTCCTAAAGATTGAGAAGTGGGGAGGTACTGGCAAGGCACTTGTGCTCTGGAGTCTGACACAGAGGGTTCAAATATCTGCTTTGGTGTGACGTTGGGCAAGTTTTTAAATCTCAGAGTCCTTTTCTGCATTGTTGTTAGATGCTGTTGAGTCAGCTCCAACTCATAAAAACCCTACGTGCAACAGGAGAAACCCTGCCCTTTCCCGTGCCATCCTCACAATCATTGCCATATGTGAGCTCATTGTTGCACCCACTGTGCCAATGCAGCTCGTTAAGGGTCTTCTCATTTTTGCTGATCCTCTACTTTACCAAGCATGATGTCCTTCTCCAAGGACTGGTTCCTCTTGATAACATGACCAAAGTATGAAAGACGAAGTCTCACCATCCTCGCTTCTAAGGAGTATTCTAGCTGTACTCCTTCCAAGACAGATTTGCTCTGGCAAATTCTCTGTTCTTCTGGCAGAAGAAATTCCATGTTCTTCTGACAGTCCATGGTGTAGATTCAATATTCTTCATCCACATAATATTATCAAAGGCATCAGTTCTTCTTTTGTCTTCCTTATTCATTTGTCCAGTTTTCAGATGCATATGAGGCAACTGAAAATACCATGGCATGGGGTCAGGACCACCTTAGTTCTCAAAGAGGCATCTTTGCTTTTTCGTATTTTAAGTAAGGAAGTCTTTTACAGCAGATTTGCCCAATGCAATATGTGGTTTGATATCTTGACTGCTGCTTCCATGGGCACTGATTGTGGATCTAAGTAAAATGAAATCTTTGATCACTTCAATCTTTTCTCCATTTATCACAATGCTGCTTATTGGTCCAGTTGTGAGGATCTGGGTTTCCTTTATGTTGAGGTGTAATCCACACTGAAGGCTGTAGTCTTGGATCTTTATCAGCCAGTGCTTCAGGTCCTCTTCACTTTCAGGAAGCAAGGTTGTGTCATCTGCATATCACAGGTTGTTAAGGGGTCTTCCTCTAGTCCTGATGCCACATTCTTCTTATAGTCCAGCTTCTCAAATTATTTGCTCAGCATACAGATTGAGAAAGTATGGTGAATTGATAAACCCTGACCCACACATTTCCTGATTTTTAAACCTAAGGCAGTGGACAGATAACCAGAAGGCTGGCAGTTCAAACCCACCAGCCACTCCTCAGAAGGAAGGTCGGGCAATCTACTTCCATGGTGATACCACCTCAGAAACCCAAGGAGGGGTCACTATGAGTCGGATACAACTTGATGGCAGTGGGCTTGGTTTTTGGTAGTAACCCCTTGTTCTATTTGAATGACTATCTCTTGGTCTATGCACACTTTCCTCATCAGCACAATTAAGTGTCCTAGAATTCCCTTCTTTGCAATGTTATCCATATTTGTTATGATCCAAAAAGTCAAATGTCTTCACATAGTCAATGAAACACACGTAAACATCTTTCTGGTATTCTTTGCTTTCAGCCAAGTTCCATCTGACATTAGCAATGATATCCCTCAGCTCATGTCATCTTCTGAATCCAGTGTGATTTTCTGGAAGCTTCCCATTGATTTACTGCCACAACTGTTTTTGAATTATCTTCAGCAAAATTTTACTTGCTGATATTAATGATATTGTTCAATAATTCCCTTGTTCCATTGGATCACCATTCTTTGGAATGGGCAAAGATATGGATCTCTTACAGCAAGTTGGCCAGGTATCTGTCTTCCAAATTTCTTGGCATAGATGAGTGAGCACTTGCAGAGTTGCATCTGTTTGTTGAAATATCTACTGAATAATCCTTAAATTCCTGGATCCTTGTTTTTTGCCAATTCCTTCAGTGCAGCTTTGACTTCTTCCTTCAGTACCATTGGTCCTTGATCATATGCCACCTCCTGAAATAGGTGAACATTGACAGATTCTTTTTGGTACAGCAACTCTGTGTATTCCTTCCATCTTCTTTAGATATTTCCCACATCATTCAATTATTTGTCCATAGAATCTTTCAATATTGCAACTTGAGACTTGAATTTTTTCTTTAGTTCTTTCAGCTTGAGAAATACTGAGTGTGTTCTTACCTTTTGGTTTTCTAACTCCATGTCTTTCCACATATTATTATAATAATTTACTTTGTCTTCTTGAGACCCCTTTGAAATCTTCATCAGTCACAAGGCTGGGGGCTAACTGCAAAACAGACATAATTTTTCATATGCAAGTTCACACTAAAGCTGAAGCTCAGCTTTTTTACTTCCATTGCTTCTATTCATTTTAGCTACTCTCTATTCAAGATCAAGTTTCAGAGTCTTTTCTGACATCCATCCATTTTGGTCTTTTTTTCCTTTCCTGGCTTTTTAATGACCTTTTGCTTTCCTCATGTATGATGTTCTTGATGTCATCCCACAACTTGGGTCTTCCATCACTTGTATTCAATATGTCAAATCTATTCTTGAGATGGTCTTTAAATTTAGGTGGAGTATATTCAAGGTTGCATTTTGGCTTTCATGGACTTGTTTTAATTTTCTTCAGCTTTAATGTGAACTTGCATATGAAAAATTGATGGTCTGTTTTGCAGTTAGCCCCTGGCCTTGTGACTGATGATAACAAGCTTCTCCATCATCTCTTTCCACAGATGTAGTTGATTTGATTCCATTGTCTTTCATCTGGGAGGTCCATGGGTATAGTCACCATTTATATTGTTGAAAAAGGTATTTGCAATGAATCAGTCATTAGTCTTACAAAATTCTATCATGATCTGCCAGGTATGTGTTATTTCTATCACCAAGTCCATATTTTTCAACTACTGACCCTTCTTTGTTTCCAACTTTTGTATTCCAAACCCACTGCCATTAAGTTAATTATGACTTATAGTGAACCCCATTAGGTTTCCAAGGCTGTAAATATTTACAGAAGTAGATTGCTCCATTTTCCTCCTGAGGAGCAGACAGTGGATTTGAACCACAGACCTTCTGGTTAGCAGACAAATGCCTTATCCACTATGCCACCAGAGCTCCTTTTTCATATTCCAATCACCAATAATTATCAATGCATCTTGATTGCATGGTTGATCAATTTCAGACTGGAGAAGTCGGTAAAAATTTTCAATTTCTTCATCTTTGGCCTTAGTAGTTGGTGCATACATTTGAGTAATGGTTGTATCAATTGTTCTTCCTTGTAGGCATATGGGTATTATCCTATCACTAACATTGTACTTCAGGATAGATCTTAAAATGTCTTTCTGACAATGAATGGGATGCCACTTCTCTTCAATTTGTCATTCCTAGCATAGTAGACCATATGATTATCTGATTCAAAATGGCCCATACTAGCCCATTTCAGCTTATCTGTAAGGTGGTTTAATGCAGACTCTACCTCAGGGGTCATCAGGAGGAGACAATAAGATCATGTACCTAAATGGTGGCAATGATTACTTCTGCCTACAAAGAAGTCCTAATCCACAGTCATCAGCTCTGAAGGGACACTGTCTGTGTCTGTATCCCACTTACTAGAGATGGGTGACCCTGATGAGGAACTTGATCTCACTGAGCCTCAGTTTCCTCACTTACAAAAGGATAATGATAAGAATCGTCCCTACACTGGGACGGGTATTGTGAGAATGACAGCAGTGGGAGATTTATAAGTGATAACAACTGAGGAGCCCACAGAAGGCTCTCAACCAACGTCATCATCATTACGGTTATACTGAAACCTAATGGCCAAGTCTCCCAAAGACTGACGGGAGGGAGCAGGGGAAACCAGAGTCACCTGGCTGGAGTTTCCCATCCTTGGCTGCAGCTCCTTTCTTGATGAGGTGGGTAATTTGGAGGTAGGGCCCATGCTGGATAATGATCAGGCCTAATCCCAGGCTCCCCACCGTGAGTTTAGTCTTCTGCGTTTTGCTCAGGGTATGTACAGATGCCTTGACCTTCAGGAGGCTGACCCGTCCTTCTAATAGAAAGAGGAGAATTTGTTTCAGTCCTTTACCTAGGAGGCAGCAGGGCAGCAGTGCACCGGGGTTCTGAACCAGACCCCTGGGGCAGTTACTGAACTCTCTGTTCCTCGGTTTCCTCATCTGTAAAATGTAGATACTATTAGGGAATTCCTCAGAGGGTTGTGACAAGATATAAATGAGACAGTTAAAGGGCTTTTGCACAGTGCCTGGTCCATGGTAGGTATTTACTGTTAGTTATTACTGTCTATTCACTCAACAAATATTTACTGATGCAGGCAGTGTTTACCATGGTGAGTAGAACAAATGTGTTTCTTGCCCTCATGGATCTTACAGCCTAGTGGAGGAGACAGGCATCCAATCAATCAGTCTCACGGATATATACTGAACAAGACTGTGACGTGTGTCTGAGAGTGAACAACAGGGGGCTTGGTCTGGAGAAGGCAGGGGGGACTTCTCTGAGGTGACATTTGAACTGAGGTCAGAAGGACCGATGGGAAATATTTAGGCAAAGGGGGTGGGGAGCATATTAAGGTTTTGAGACTGGCTGTCAGAGGAACAGAAAAGATAAGCGCTAAGGGGAGGAGGCAGGAGGAATAAAGGCCAAACGGACAGGGGCTGGCTCTTGGACCATGCTGAGGGGGTCAGCAGTTACCTCAATGAAAAAACTTAGAAGGGGTTTAATCAGGACATTATCAGATTTGTATTAAAAAAAACCCAAAAAACCAAAAAAAACACAACAGCATAGCTCTCTGGCTGCTGTGTGAGGTGTAGAAGGGATGTGGGGAATGACAGGGTTACTGTAGTCACTCAGACAGGTCATAGTGGTGATGTGGAAATAGCCCGATGATGGATTCAAAAAGCATTTGGGAGGGAAATTCACAGGACTTGGGGACAATGGGTGGGTGGGCAGTAGGTGGAAATATGTTTTCTGTAGAATCAACTCTCACTAGATAAACTTCAAGGACTGAGGACTGATCTAAAACAGCAACAAAAAGTTATTTTCCCCAAGAGGAAGTTTCTGAGGAGACTTGTTCTCTGCATACCTTTCCAGCATTTTCCATACAACACTTTTCTTAAGGCCAAGTGACAAACTGCTACTTGCCAAGCCTTGGCCAAGCCCATGTAACCATGGTGTTTGGGGGGCCTCTGAGTGGTCCCACTGATGATAAAGGGGCTTCTGCTAGCCCCAGCTCTGAGGCTGTCAAGCTTCAAGGCCCTTATCTCAAAGCAGCCATCTTTGCCTATCTCCAATCACCCTCTCACCTTCTCTGAAACCACAGATGCTCTTGTAGAGTTGCTGGTGCCACTGCTACTCTGCTGGTGACTCTCTTGACATTCAATTCCTTGTTTCCAAGATGTCACCAGTTAAAGATGGGAACAATGCTGGGGGCACCCTTCTCCCTCTTTAAGCCTTAAGCCTACTCAGAAAATGTAAATCAGAAACTCTGATTTACAATCTGTTCCCTTGTCTTAAAGATAGTCTCCATCTGTAAAGTAAAAGAGCACAGTACAAAGAAGATACTGTCTACAGAGATTTTTCAGGATTATAGGAGCAACTTGGGGCAGGTCAACCCCCGGAGCTTCTGTTCCCCTGTATACAGTGAAGTCACATATTAGGCAAAGCCTAGGTTTCAATCTCAGCTTGCAAATTAAATGTGTTTACAATGTGGATCTACTATGAAATTCAGTCTCAAAAGGCAGTATGGCTAAGAGAAAGAAGCCAGACTCAAAAGGCTACATGCTACGTAATTCCATGTTTATGGCATTCTCCATGGACAGGGCAAAACTATAGAAGACACACGGGGATGTCAAGAACAGGGTGGGATAAGGGTTGGGTGCAAAGAGGCAGCACAAGGTAATATTGAGGGTGAAGAACTGCTCCGTATCTTGAATATGGTTGTCGTTTAAATGTTGGTATATGGCCTTTGTCAGAAGCACTGGTAGCGTAGTGCCTAAGGCACTTGACTGCTAACCAGAAGGCTGGCGGTTCAAACCCACCAACCACTGCTGGGAAGGAAGGTTGGGCAATCTACTTCCATAGTACTGCCGCCTTGGAAACCCAAGGAAGTGTCGCTATGAATCAGGTCTGACTCGACTGCACCTAACAACTGCATACTGCCTTTGACATGACTCAGTCGTGTACACTGAAAAGTATGTAAATTATACCTCAGTAAATAAACGATAGCGAGAGATCATCTCGAAGCCCATCCTACAGGAGAGGAAAAGTGGGGAAGAAGTGCGGAAGGCTTTGTTCCCCAGGGCATCTCCTCCTCCCTCTCTACTCCGCAGTTACCATTTCTACTTTCGCCGGTGGCCTTCTTCATGGCCCCAAGGACGTGACTGGCTCAGGAGGGCCTCCCTGCAGCCAAGGGTGGAGGCCGTCCAACTCCCAACAGTTTCGAACCCTCGAGGTGAGGACTCAAGGCCGTGAGTCTTCGTGCGCCGCCCCTCGGGCAGGACGCCAGGGGGCGCTGCGGCGACGCCGCCAAACAGTGGGATGGCTGCACACTTGGTCTCGGTAACCCCTAGAAAACGTGGCAGCAAGATACTGCGCTGCAAAGTAGTGACGCCCTCGGGAACAGAACATAACTTTTGCAGGGACTACCAAAGTGCCTGGCCCACGTTTCATCCATTCTTTTTTATTTTTTTTAAAGTAATATTTTACTTTTGGTGAAACTTTACACAGCAAATTAGGTTCCCATTTGACAATCTCTATACAAATTGTTCAGTACATTAGTCACATTTTTCTCATTGTCAACATTCTCTTTCATTGTGTTCTAGTTGTTCTGTTTCCAGTGCTCTAGTTTCCCTGACCCCCCCCCCCATCTTCTCATCTTGGTTTTAAAATAACCGTTGACCTTTTCATCCATTCTCAGTGAACCACTGCAAGAGGGAAGGCAGAAAAGTCACATTAGAAGAAGACTCAATTCTTCCTCCTTTCTTCCAAAATAGCCTTTCCTCTCACACACATTCATTCAAACAACAAATATTTCCTGGGAGCCTGCTCTACGGTGTGTGCTGATGTTGGGGTTCAATAATAGACAAGACAGATGGGGACTCTATCATCTTGTTGTTATTTGTCATCAAGTCGGACTCGACTCATAACAACCCCTCCTTGGGTTTCCAAGGCAGTATCACTACGGAAGTAGATTGCCCAACCTTCCTTCCAAGGAGTGGCTGGTAGGTTTGAACCACAAGCCTTCTGGTTAGCAGTCAAGTGTCTTAGGCACTATGCTACCAGAGCTCCTATATCCTGTTAGAGCTTAAATATGAAAAAGAGACGAAAGGACAATTTTAAGTATATATAAATTATAAAAAATAAATTCTAGAAAAAATAGAAAACAAATGATTAGGTCTTGATGTTATCACCATGCTAATGAAAAACAAGGGCATCCATTCCTTCAGCAAATAGTTATCATGCAACCACTACTAGGTGTCAGGCACTATGCATAGAATTACCTGGATGAGCTCCAGCTTCTTCGCTGTTTCTGTGGCTCTACGTACACTATCAAGCAAAGCAGATTTCTTGTTGGACAAACTCTGTGTTTCAGAGCCTGATACAAAGGGAAGGAATGGAGTTAACCCTAGCCCTGCTGCTCTCACCATGATCTCCTGCTGGAGCGTTCTTGTGATGGTTGCCTGTTTTCTCCTCCAAACAGTCTGAGCAGGGTGTCTACCCAAATGCCAAATTAGTTCTATCATAAAATGCATCCTTCACCACAGCACTTTTCACAGGAGCCAAAATGTGGAGACAAATGAAATGTCATCAACAGATGGCTGGCTAAACACAATGTGGTATATGCATACAATGGACTACAACTCAGCCCTAAAGAGAAATGATGCTCTGATACCTGCCACAACACAAGCGAACCTTGAAAGCATTATGCCTATGGAAGTGGAACGAACCAGAATGGAAATAATGAGAGAGTTGACACACTGAAAAATGTAACCAATATCATTGAACAAATTGTGTGGAAACTGTTAAATGTGAATCAATTTGCTGTGTAAACTTTCACTGAAAACACAGTATTTTCATTTAAATAACAAAATGTTATGCTGAGTAAAATAAGTCATTCACGAAAGGACAAACATTGTATGTGTGATCTCACTTATATGAAATAGACAAATATACAGAAACCACACTTATTAATGGTTACCAGGGGTGGGAGGGAGGTTGGAAGGGTGATCTATTGCTTAGGGGCCAGTGAATTTATGTTAATGGTGGTGGAGTAATTTGGAAAAGGATAGAACGGTTGCGTGGCATGAAAATGTAAACAAAGTCACTAGTTACACATGGAGAAATTGTTGAATTGGCAAATCTTCACAATTATCAAGGGTTTCATTTGACTTTGATCCATAGTCAACACCCATGGAACCAGCAGTCAAGAAATCAAATGACATATTACATTGGGTAGATCTGCAAAAGAGTGTTAAAGAGCAAAGGCGTCACTTTGAAGACTAAGGTGTGCCTGACCCAACCCATTGTCTTTTCGGTAGCCTCTTATGCATGTGAAAGCTGGACAACGAATAAGGAAGACTGCAAAAGAACTGATGTACGGGGATTATGGTGTTGTTGGAGAACAGTGAATAGATCATGCTGCCAGAGGAATGAACAAATCTGTCTTGGACGAAGTACAGTCAGAACGCTCCTTAGAAGCAAGAGCGGCCAGCCTTTGTCACTTATACTTTGGTCATGTTACCAGGAGGGACCATTCCCTGAAGAAGGGTATCATGCTCAGTAGAGGGTCAGTGAGGAAGGGGCAGAACCTCAAAGAGACAGAGCAACACAGTGGCTACAACAATGAGCTCAAGCATAGCAACAATCGTGAGGATGGCACAGGCCCAGGCAGTGTTTTGTTCTGCTGCACACAGGGTCACTGTGAGTGAAAACCAACCTGATGGCATCTGATGACAACAACATGATATAGATGATAGTTAAGGCTGTGTGTCAACTTGGCTGGGCCATGACCCTCAATGGTTTAAGCAGTAGGATGTAGTCCTCCCCCTTGAGGAGATCTGACATAATGTAATTACCTCCATGATGAGTTCTGCTATGGGGAGCCAGCCAGATGAACAGCAGTTTCCTTAGGGATGCGGCCTGCTTCCAACACATATGGATGGCCTGGCAAAGCCTGCTTGCTTTTGGTCAATCTGGATCCTGCATCTGACTCATCATCATCTGACCTCTGGTTCCTAGACTTGAACCAGTGGCCTGCTGTGTTGCCTGTCAGTCTTGGGATTGTTGTCTTCTCAGCTTGTGAGCCTTCAGCCTGTCATTTTACCTGCCAGTCTTTGATTCATCAGCCTTTGCAGCCAGCGGCTTACCCTTTGCAGCCAGCGGCTTACTGTATTGCCTACCATCTTGGGTTTGTCAGCCCCTACAGCTACATGAGTCAGGAGAAGCGTCCAGCCTGACATCTAACCCATGGACTTGGGACTTGCCAGCCTCTACAACTGTGTGAGCTATTTTCTTGAGGTAATTTCTCTTTCTCTCTCTGCTTTCTGGTTTTGTTTCTCCAGATGACCCAGCCTAAGACAATGTATGTTAAAAAGAAAACAAAACAACAACAACAACAACAAACTCACTGCCACTGAGTCAATTCCGATTCACAGCGACCCTCTTTGGGTTTCCGAGGTGGTAAATCTCTATGGAGTAGCTTGTGGGTTTTAACTGCCAACCTTCTAGTTAGCAGTCAAATGCCTTAGGCGCCATGGCATCAGAGCTCCTTAGGACAATATACATAGTGCCTCCTTTTTCTCCATCTTCCTATAAGTAGGGGAATGGTAAGTTTGTGGAAATAAAGCACATCAGCATTTGAGGTTCTGTGAAGGGAGCTTCCCATAGCTTGGTATGCAGAGGGTCACCCACCTTCCTTCCATCCCAGCCTGAAACATCTAGAATGGATGCCAAGATCACAGTACCTGGTGGGATTGCAGGAAACAAACTATTGTGGATGGTGTGCTGTCCAGACCCCCCTTCAAGACTGAAGAAATGATTTCCCTACTTCCACCCTCACCCTGGCTGCTGCTGGCTAAAGCAGCTCTTTGTCCATGATTATACCTTTGCAGGGCAGCCAGCATCTAATGACTGGTCAATGCAAGATAAAGAGCCTGGCCTCCTGACTCCAACTCAGACAACTCTGGTGAACCATCCTAGCTTCAGAGCACCCCACAGGGGTCCACTGAAGCCTGCTGTCACTGTACTGCCTGGCCTTTCTTTTTGCCCAGTCCTGCTTCCTCCCTTCCCCAAGAGGTGTGGATCCCAAAAGCAGTCCTCAATAAACTCCTTGCATCTCAGAGTCTTGTTTCCTGGAGAACCTAACCCATAATGGCTAATGCCAGGGATGGTCTGAGAAAGCAGATGCCAAGGCGGGGCTTTGGAGTTTGGTCACCCATTGCCCAGGTATAATGAGGACCTCATCATTGGTGGAGGAGGAGCACAGGCAGTCTCTGGCACGGGAAGCACTATAATTGTTAACATTTTCACTGGTAATAAAACAGGATGGTTACCAGGAGAAGGAAAGGTACTAGCAGGCATCATCTATCAGTCATTCCTTCTCCCAAGGACAGCAGGCCAAAGCGGTAATCACCAGGAATGAGGCAGAGCTGCTGCTACAATTAAGAACAAGGAGGAATGTTTGGCACCCACGTGACCCACATGAGTATCTCTTCATACGCTCTTGTCCTCATTTGACAGTGAATACGGGTGGCAGCCGTATCCTGAGAATCACATGGCATGTAGGTGTTCCAAATCCCTAACAGATGGAGGTCTGAGCCACTCTACCAGGTAAGGCACCCAGATGACTGGAGGTGCTGAGGGTGAGAGGAATCCAGGATGGGTAGAAGAGGGCGATGAGATGCCAGTTATGCCTGCAGATGCAGTGGCGGGAGCTGTGGTTTGTCCCACTACCCCTCCTCTTGTAAGGGTCTTCCAGGAAAAGATGCCCACCAGGGGTCCTGCTCTAGGAACTTACACGAAGCAAGTGGATCTGTGTAACACCATGGCTAACTGCAGCCAATGCTGAGTTGTTTAGGTTCCCTTTCAGGACTGAAGGATACATTCCCCAACTACTGGGGAGGTTATACTTTGACAGATGACTCTTAGCTGTCAGCCCTCTGTGGGAATTGTCCTGGGTTCAACAGAGCTCCTCATCAAAGGTCATGGCCCATTCCTGGGCCAGTAAGATTTCAATGACAGGTTCACACAGGGATAAAAAGGCCTGGCCCTTGTGCTCCAACTCAGAGCAATTCTGAAGGGCTGTCCCACCTTCAGAGCTTCCTGGAGGGGCTGCCAAGGCTTCCTATGACTGCATCCCACTCTCTGCCTAATCTTGCTTCCCTCCCTTCCTCACTTGAGCTGATCCTGAGAGCATCCCCTAAGCAACTTCCGACATGCTCATCTCTTGACTCAGTCTGCTCCAGGGGAACTCAACCGATGAGAGAAAGAGTTGAGCCTTGAGCACAGCTGTTAACCTTATTCTTTTGTCTTCTTTGAACCCAAGAACTTCAAGTACACATGTATGTGTACACATACCACACTGCTGGCATGCTTGACTAAAGCTGAACCCTGGACAGGCATGTTATTTATCCTGCCAGGCTGAAGCTACGGTCCCCTCCATGGCTTTGCCCAAGGGCCCATGTGGATGCAGCTTCTTCTGGGCCCAGGACGAGCCTCCATCACGGTAAACCACGCCACGCTCTGGCCCTCCAACAGCCGCAGAACGGCTATTTGACTTCAGGCTGTCAGCACAGCTCCCTCCTGGGGGCCTTCTATGTTCTTCTGTCCCCAAGGGCTTTGTGCCATAAGGAGCCTCATGGCTCATCCTCCCTCTGAATAGAGAAGCCCCAGCAGCTGTGCTAGGGGTGGATGAGAGGGCGGATGCTTCCATCACTGAGGCAGAGTGCTTGCTCTGGGAGTCCATTAGGTCAGACGGGGAAGGAAGTCCAGAGAGGCAACGGGACTTTCCCAAGGTCAGGCCGTAAGCCAGTAGCAGGGATGGGATGAGAATACAGGACTATGTTCTTTCTACTCTACCACACTGCCGCTCTTTAATCCCTGGGGTCGGCCTCTACTAAAGCCTAGACTGAGATACAGAGAAGGGAATTGATTTGTCCCGTAGATCTCAGAAGATGACTTGAGACTCTGGTATTTTGGTCAGCAAGAATGGATGGGGGGCTAAAAACAGAGATTGGTGGGAAGTCTGCATGCAGAGTATTTGGCCCTTGCCCACGACACCCTCCATCCTCCACTCCTTAGTGGTAGGAAGGGATCTGACCATTGTCTGTAGGGATGTGAAACCATTAATTTGATTAAAATGTTGTAAGCTCTGATTTTCATACTTGAATCTCAGATCCAAGGCCCCTACGTGGCACAGTTTGTGCTTGACGACTAAGCTAAGCCGTACCGTGGCAGAAAATGCCTGCTGATCTGTTTCTCTGTTCAGATTACAGCCAAGACACAACATAATCCACAAAGAAAATGTTCTACATCCTACTTTGGTGAGTAGTGACTAGGGTCTTAAAAGCTTGTGAGTGGCCGTCTGAGACGCAACTATTGGTTTCTCCCCATCCAGAATGAAGAAGAGTGAAGAATATCAAAGACACAAGTAAACAATTAGTCTAAGGACTGATGGACCATGCGAACCTCAGCCTCCACAAGCCTGAGACCAGGATAATTAGATGGTCCCCAGCTACAAGAACTGACTGCTCAGAAAGGGATCACATTAGAAGGTTCTAGATAGAGTAGGAGAAATATGTGGAACAAAACTCAAAATAATAAAAGAGACTAGGCTTACTGGTCAGACAGACTGGTAGAACCTCCAAGGCCATGGCCCTTAGTCACCCTTGAAGGCTGAACTGAACTCACCCCCATGGTTCAACTTTCAGTCAAACAATAGCAGGCCCATACGGTGACCAATAGCATTAGGGAGGTACCACTCAGGACAATCAACCTTTGGAGATCAAAAGGGCAGCATTTGCCCAAAGACAAAGTTCAGAAGGCAGGAAGGAATAGGAAAGGAGGGATGGAAACAGGAAACACTGGGAAGAAGGGAGCTGAGTGACACCACATTGTGGGAATTGCAATCAATGGCATGAAGCAAAATTGGTATGAATTGTTGAATGAAGAGCTGACTGTAACCCAAGTTACAATGAAAAGTCTGGGGAAAAAAAAGATTACAGCCAAGAAAACCCTATAGAGCATTTTCTCCATAGCACACATGGGGTCACCAGGAGTTAGAACTGACTCGACACCTAACAACAATCTTAGATCCAGAAGCAAAGGGCAGAGACAGGAAGGGCTGAGAAATGCCCCCTGGGGGAGGGAGGAATTTATGCTGGTATTTTTAATGACCCAAAAATCAAGTCATCACAAATACTGATTTGGGCAAAGGGAAAGGCAACAGACTGAAATATATGTCTATATCTATCTATCTATCTATATCTCAAGTCATCAACATTCTACTCACTAGGAAGTTGTTGTTGTTGTTATTTGCTGTCGAGTGGGACCCAACTCATAGCGACCCTCCTTGGGTTTCCGAGGCAGTATCACTATGGAAATAGTTTGCCCAACCTTCCTTCTGAGGAGTGGCTGGTGGGTTTGAACTGCCCACCTTCTGGTTAGCAGTTAAGTGCCTTAGGGGACTACGCTACCAGAGTTCCTCACTAGGAGTTAGAATAGGCAAACCGTTCTAACATTTCACTGGCCAGTAGTGAGTATCCATAGATATGACTGGGACAAGGAGGAAATTAGTCCTGCATAGTTAAGTTTTCTTCTGTTACTGGGAAACAGAAAAGCCAGATCAGAAGCCAAGAAATTTTACTCCATGAAATTTCTCCAGTACTTTAAAAAAAGAAAAAAAGTGAAGCCCTCCGGCAGTAATGTGATGAACGTGACATCTGGGTCCCTGGAATATCCAAATTCTCTCATGTTGAGCTCTGTGGCAGAGGAAAAAGAAATTGTATAACAATGGGGAAAAAAAAACTTTCATCCCAAGAGACCAATTTTGAACAGGAACATCTATAGCTCAGCAATCAAATACCTCTCCACCCAACCTGTAGGGTAACACTGATAGCTCTCTGTGCATTTTCTCCAAGGCTGTCGGATTTGGTGGAATCCGAAACTTGCTGAGTTTTACTGACATGTAGGCATTCCAAAAATAGAGACAGATGTCACTCTTCTAGTTCTTTCTAGAGATGCTCCAGCTGGCATTGAAAGAACGAAACAAGCATCTCTCTCCTGGTTGCTGCATAGAGGACCCTCAAGAAAAGAAAGAGCTGGGTCCCATGTCAGGGTTAATGGTGATTTGGCCCACAAGCCATGGATGAAAAGGAAACCTCCACTAGATAGCAAAATTATAGATGGATAGATGTCTGTATTGCTAACCAAGTTATGCAAATACTTTTTTTTTTTCCCCGTTTATCCATTCAACACATTCTGTTTATCCATTATGCTTGGTAAAGTGGAGGGTCAACGAAAAAGGGGAAGGCCCTCAATGAGATGGATTGGAACACTGGCTACAATGATGGGCTCAGGTATAGCAGGGATAGTGAGGCTGGCAAAGGACCAGTGTTTCATTCTATTATATATGGCGTTGCTACGAGTTGGAGCCAACTCAACAGCACCTAACAACAACATCCATTCAACCAGTTTCCTTCCCCTAGTCCCAGGCTATAAATCTTTACAGAAGTAGATTTCCTTCCACAGAGTGGCTGGTGGATTTGAACCACTGACCTCCTGGTAGCAGCCAAATGCCTTATCCACTAGACCACCAGAGCTCCTTAACTTGGTAAATGGTATCACCAAACACCTGGTTGCTCAGGCCGAACATTCAGGAGTCATTCCTAAGTCCTCTCTCCCTTATCTACCAGCAAGCCCTTTGCACGACCTCCCAGACGTCCAAATCTCTCCATCTTCCCTACTCTAAAGCCATTGCCATCCAGTGGATTCTGACTCACAGCAACCCTCACCGGGTTTCTGAGGTGGTAAATCTTTACGGAACTAGATTGCCCACTTTTCCTTCCGCAGTGTGGCTGGTGGGTTTGAACCGCCAACCTTCTGGTTAGCAGTCAACCGCCTTAGGCACTGCACCACTATGGCTCCTTTCATTACTCTCAGCCTAGCCAAACCCACCATTCTTTCTCCTGGCCTGCTTCATTTGCCTCTTAACTGGTCTCTCTGCTTTCATTCTTGCCCCTCCCTGCCACCAAACTATTCTTCACACTTGTGATTCATATAGATTAAGTAAGAGTATGTCACACCCCTGCTAAAAAACCCTCCAAAGCCCTCCAGTTGCTGCCAAGGTCCTACACTGGGCCCCTGCCTACCTCTCCAACGTCTTCTCACGCCATCTTGCGGCCATCTCCATCTTGCCCATCTCTTCCCTGCCCCCTCCCCTGACTCTTCCCACTTGCTGTTCCCTCTGGAACAGTCTCCGCCAGATCTTCACTGGGCAGGTCTTTTACTATCTCAGTACAAATGTAACCTTCCCTGACTATCATAAATATCACTCCCACACCCATCTCACTCACCCCCATTTAATTCATGGATCTCCAACACCTAACATTGTCTTTATTTAAAAAATCCCACTTTTTACGTGTTTCTGTCTCTTCCCTACGAGACGGTAAGCTGGAACCTCATCTCTCTTGTCCACTCCAGTACCTCCAGCACTGACAGCTGTGCCTGACACAAAAGGTATTCGATAACCAAAACCAAACTCACTGCAACAGGTGGATTCGGACTCATAGCGATCGCCACTGGGTTGCCAAGGCAGTAAATCTTTATGGAAGTAGATTGCTCCACCTCCCTTCTGCAGAGCTGCTGGTGGGTTTGAACCAGTAACCCTCTGGTTATCGGTCAAATGTCTTCTTAGGCACTACGTCACCAGAGCTCGACAGCTGTGTCCTAAATGGGACAATTTCTAGGGTTGACAAGCATGGAATAGGCAATTATAATACAAGGTGACCAGGGCTGTATCTCTACCCCTGTCATTCAGCAGGGGTCTGGGCCCCCGCCTGCGAGAGCGCTGGCGTCTTTCCGCCATCCTCGTCTTCCGTTTTAAAGGACAGACGGAGGGTATTTTGTGTCCATACAGTAATCAACAACAGCAGCATTATTATCGGCAAGAAAGCCAAGAGGGGGGCGCGGCAGCTGGAAGAGACCAGGAGCAGGGCAGGGCTCGAGCCGGGCGGGTCGGGTCCAGGAGCGGAGCCGCCAAGACGCCAACCAACGGAGGATCGTGACAACAGAGCGGGATTGGGGCGGTCGGGAGAATCCGGACGGCGAGCAAAGCGGCGAAGCAGGAGGACCAGGCTGGGCTTCGGGGAGTCGGGAGGGTCGGGCCGCGGACCACGAAACACAGCCGGGAAGTGGGCAGCAGAGCCGGGAGCACTGAACTCAGTCGCCACGGTGCCCGGACGCCGGCCTCACCAGCTCCGCAGCTTCGTTTCCGGGTTGGGGGCGGGCTCACCAAGTAGTTCCGGGGCGGGCGGCGGTTCCGGCTGTGCGGGCCGCGCCGCGGCTGCTGGTCCCGGGCGCGCGGAGGGCGCGAGCGGTGCG